ACGGGACTTCTTTTTTAAAAAGCACTTTAAAAATTCCAAGTAGATTTAAATGTGTATTTCGTTTGTGTAATTCACACGGACAATTTTAGCATGCATCTCTTTCCGAATTGGCAAGTGATTTTTTGGTTTGTAAAAAGATCATACCTCTCGGATTGGATCTAACTCACGTAAGACCGCCCCGTACATCTGGGTACACTTTACGCTTCGCTTCAATCGAGTAACAGAATGACTTTGACAGCACTGATTTCTTCACATTCCAACCACCAACAGCCGCCCATGGAATTCATCACATTAGGCTGCTTGCCCTCCCCCGTGAGGTCTCCCTCAGTTATATTGGTGTACTGTCGTAGCTTTCTTTCCCTCGTAGAAAACCTGCACTGTACAACATTGTAAATGGCTTACGTGTTGGCCTGCTCACGTGCGTGCATGGGTTCGAGTCCCAGTTATGGTATTAGCCTCATTGTTATTGAAGCCAAACTGTTTGCAGTGATACTGCTTAACCGCTCCGCAGTCGTCAGAGATACCCGCACTCGCCCGAACTAAAGGGGGTTTCACCACGGAAGAGGCTGTGTCGAACAAATCTTCACTCTCCGTAGGATTCTGGAACACCGCTACAAGTTCCAGCAGCCTACCAAAGCATGTTTCATTGACTTCCGCGCTGCATTTGACTTTGTCGATAGTGAATCCTTGTGGTGCATGTGGCGGTCCCACGGGATGTCTGAGAAGTTCATCAGCCTTTAAAATTGATATCACTTAGGAACCCGAGAAAGCGTCCGTACCTATGGAGAAGAATCGGCTGAGTTAACCCTAAGCTCTTGAGTCAGGCAAGGTTGTTCCCTATTACCGGTGTTATTCAGTTATACCGTAGATAATGCGACAAGCACCCATCGACTACCCCGGAGTGCAACTTGACCCAGGATTGTTGACCTCGAGTTTGCGGATGATGTCGTGGTATTTGGAGACACCATGGACAATCTGCAGCCTGCTGTCAATCGTATAAATCAGTTTGCTCAGGCCATTGACTGTAGAGATCACCGCTTTGAAAGCCAAGCCATTTTAGACCACAACTTCTGCCATGACACAATCCCTCTCGATTAACGGGGAGCTTGTGGAATCAACCGAAGTTTTCAAGTACCTTGGTTCTACGATGAGACCAAACGACCAGGCTAAGGATGAAATCTAACTCCCTGTAGATGGAGCTAGAAGAGCCTTCATGCAACTTCTCAAACCGTTGTGGAATCGATGCGAAATGGGCTTAAACACTAAGCTTCGTATTTATCTGGCTTCTATCCGCCCCATCCTCAATTATGGTTGTGAAAATTGGTCACTAAGAGTACAAGGTACAAAGAAGCTCGAAGTCTTTGATCATGGGTGCTTACGCCACATCTTGAAAGTAAATTGGAAAGATCGAATATCCATTGATGAGGTTCAATGGCGCTGCTTTAACATTGACAAGCTTTAAAAAATGCTACAACGCCGGTGCCTTCAGTGGTTTGGCCATGTGCTCCGAAGGCCCGACACTCAACTCTCGCGCCGTGCTGTGGATGGCGTTGTTGACTCGCTGATCAACTGAAAACCTGGATTAGTAGGATCAAGGTGGATTTGGAATTACCGGGCCTTCAATGTGTATAACGAATTCGCAAATGGAACCAGAACTGGTTTTCACACTGTGTCAACCGATCGTCACGCGCGTGGGCCGCCATCATTAGAAACATCCAAAAATCTGAATTATTCTTCCACAGGAGTTAGTTAATCAAATGAAGTAAGTACTGGTTGTTCGGATGTGTGCACTATCTCCGGAATTACCATAGAAATGTTGAGTTGTGGACAGCAATTCATTCCAATCTACCACAGACCCTTAGCAGCACTAAGGAGAGTACTGATGTTTTATCTGAGAAAAATGCCCCCTAAAGCTAACCGTAGTAGATATTCTTCGTGTATAAAGTTTTGCATAAGTTCATGGGTTACAGAAAGACAGATCATAGTATATGATCTATGAACTGAGTACACACACTATTCAGCCCTGTATCGGAATTCTTTGTACAGTCACGTGTCCAAATTCATGAACACATGATTTAACCGGTTCCATTTCGATTCAGTGAAACGAAAAAAAAAAAAAGAAAAGAAGGAAAAGAAAATTTCAGTAACCATTTTCCCCTCCCGGATTTGTGTGATGGGAGGTTGTGGACACGATTTCGAAAACACTTTTGTAGCTTTGTTTCTGGGTGGATGGGTGGGG